CCTACTGAAAAATCGTTATTGTTGCTGAGAGCTCGCAAATGCTCCGGTCCAAATGATCCTTTTTCGAAAAACGCGCCTGGTCGCGAATGGGTTAATGGCATAACGAGGGAACATGGAGGCTTCGTGCCTCAATATACCGAGAAGGCAGCATAGTCAATGTGTACGAGTATGATTAGATGCGAACCACGAAGTCCTCTGGGTGCTGATCTGGATTCGACGCTTATTTAAAAAGCGTCACATGGCCAAGTGGTCGCTCAACGTAGGGGGTTATTTTGTCATTTTGTCGTTTACTTATCTTCCTGAAGATTATGTAAATCAATGCAGCCCTTGAGCACGGCATAGACATTAAGACGGTCCCTTTCCTATGGAATGCAAAGAGAATTGAAGCTTGCTTAAGACGACTAATCCGAAAGGGTTGAGACACCAGTTGATAAGGGACGCCTTCCGCAGGAGTTACAGCCAGTCTAGAGCAAGAACTGTTCTATGGAAGGCTTATAAAACACAGTCCCTCACCTCGAACAGACTGGGAGCCATACCTCAGTGAGAAGACACAAAAATTTGGAGATCAGACTTTTAACACATTGAACGCCGCGTGAATTGTCGGCAATACACGCGCATACTCCCGTTTCTCGCGTTTGTGTATTGCCCACAATTCACGTTTTGTGGGTCGGTTTTTTCGTGGGTATGAGTGCGACTTGAATCATTTTCACCAGTATATGTTCAGTGAGCTTTGCTTATGCTTAGTTCTTGATGGCGCGAAAGAAGCTGCTCATTGAAGTAATTCATTAATATTACAAAAGTAAGTCTTAATATACCAATAGCATTAAATAAAAATAAATTATAAAAATAAAAAATAAAAAAATAAAAAATAAAAATAAATAAAACAAAATAAATTCATTAATATTACAAAATACATTCTAGTTCTCTGCGGACGGTTGGGCGTGTCAGCCAGTATGAGTGTGTCAGCCTATCAGCCCTATGCCGTTCTCTGAACTCTTGTTGAAGAGCACATGCGACAAAAAGTGGTAGAAAACGAGTAATACGAAGGATATGATACAGTATTGTCACTTGCCCGCTTCAACAACTGGTGTAGAACGAGTTTGGCACCGCGCCAAACGCAGCCGTACTGACACGCCCAACCGTCCGCAGCGAACTACAGTATACAGTCAATGGCCGCGGGTCGGGGTTGCACTTCTTATGATAGACTCCGCGTCTCAGTACAATGGTAGTAAGACTCTAGTTGATTAAAATTTAAGGTTGTTAATTTTACAATCGTTTTGATAGTGTTTATGATAAATAATACTTATGTCGTCAAAACTGACGTTTAGATCTTCCACGTTGTCGAGATCCATCTATGCAGAAGGAGTAAAAGCGGGAGTCGTCGCAAAAACGCGCGGCGTTCAATGTGTTAAGTATACCCTCATACTACTTCTAACAGTCGACAATGGCAAACATATTAGGTTTAACGAAAGTCCTGCAACATTCTGAACAAATTTTCGCACCAAATTTTCCTTCGCTAAAGACATTTCCAATCTACAAGGTAATCACCATTAATGACTAGGACTAGTGCTCACCTTTTGCACAGCTTTTCATTTTCACTCTTACAGAACTACGATAAAAGGAAGAGGAGGCTCATTTTCGAGTGGACGTCGATTTTCGTAATTTTTGTTTTCTAAAGGGTGCGGTAGGGATCAAAGGAGGTGGTAATTAGAGGCTGCTACTTTGATAAATAAGCTGGGTACGGTCGCATTCTCTGATCGAGATCCATGATCTTTTGGCGTAGCCTGATCCCCACATGCGGTCTTCGCATTGCCGAGTAGTAGAGAAAAATTGAGTATTTCTGAATGAATTCAAGCGTGACGTCATCCATGTTTTGAAGTTGATTGGGGTGGACTGTGGTCCTTACAGCTGTGCTAGTATCCAGCGATACCGCTTTGAAGTCCCACCAATAACACACTGAAATCTTTATCCCATGCACATCTGCTTTTGGCTAAGCTTTTCTGTTTGAGAGATCCTGCGAGGGACATGTGCATGATGTACGCAAGGACTCCACCACTCGCTACCAACCACAAGATCTCACAAATGTTCCTCCAGTGTGTACAAGGAAAAGAAAACTCAGTCACGGTCATTCGGTATGACTTGTCAGACGGGTCCAACTCATGAGGCATCCTTCACAAAAAAATTTTCCGATAACCGAGATTGCGGAGAAGCATGGCAGTTATCAGTTAGGTGGAGCCCAGAGAGGCTGCCAACTTACAAACGGCTCCTCAAGAAGTTAGAGTTCGACTGCGCCTCAAGAAGCTTGAGTAAACGGCCGTCATTCTGTGCTGGTGGCCGACCTATACATTGCCTACCTCCAAGTTGAATAAGTCCAGCTTGGAAGCGCTGATGTTCGGCTTCCTCGATTGCGGCTGAGTGGCCCTTACAGGAACTCATAATATGGGATAGGTCGAAAAGTACCTCGATCTCTGAGGGACTTTTAAGCTTTGAAAACTTCCTCAAAGTCATGATACCCATGTGCAGAAACCCCAGAGGACAGTCTCCACTAATCAGGGATGAAAACATTCAAAATGTTTTTGGTCTTTTTCTAGAACAATCCAATCAAAGTGTCGCAGGACTTTCCGTCCAACCTAATAGTACGAGGATCTCGACGATCACCTCGATGTAATAGACGCATAACACACACGCCTGGTCGATAAGGAATGTGAATACCTGCAGGGCAGCGAAATGAGACCGAATGAGCAAACGCCGATGCAAGCGCCGCTTCTTAGTAAAGGCTAAAGTTGTCAGAACTAGCGAACAGTTTTGTAAAGCACCATCTACGAATCCAGCGTTGTGACGCTCGCTGGATTCGTAGATGGTGCTTTACAAAACATCATTTTGCCTCCAGTCAATGAAAGTGAATGGCATGATTTATGCCGTGCAAAAATACATAGCCAATAAAGGAAATAGCTGCCTCATAAAACAAACGTACCCAATGATAGTGAGAGCAGGAACAGCTTGTAAACGTTTGTGCAAGGTATGAAAAGCATCGGATTGCGGCATTAACATCAACAGAGCCGAGAGCACGGTAGACAATGAGCGCTGGTGGGATGCCGACAGTAGATCCATACGAACATCTTGAATTAAAGATTGTACGTTAAAGAAAAAGGAAGAAGGTTGTATGTTGAAGGAAAAGGAGAAAAGGGAAGAAATAAGCTGCACTCATCAATGTCAGGTGGAAATTCGCTTGAAGCAGTATCAAGGCGACTTAAAAAGTTAGAGATCGAAAAGCGAGACCTCAGTCAAATGAATTCTATGCTACCATTTGGCACGTCGTCATTATTGTAGAGAGGAAAAAAAAGCGTGAAAATGAATAGAACAGATTCAGCACAGTAACTAAAGCGTGTCGCTTGCATGAACTCAACTAGTAGTCGGTTCAATTTGAATAAAAAAGATTGAAAACTTACACGCTAGCACAGGGCTCTCTATCATATTAACCAGTTTGTCAATTTCCACGAGTACATCCAACGTCATATCCACCTGAAAAAACGGTAAATATATTACCTCATCAGTAGTCTAAAGCCTTGTTCGCTGCGGATGAAGGGCCGTGTCATTAAGGAGGGGTTTGTTGCGGCGCCAGTCCGTTTTTTTTTTCTCTTTTTCGGCAAACGACCCGCATGGACGCTGCAACAACTGGTGGAGAACGAACTAGTGGCGTGCGGTACCTTCAAAACCCACCTTCTTTGACACCCCCTCCCCCTCAACCCATCCTACGCAGTGAACGAGAACGTGAAAGATGAAGAGGAACAACCGAGACTGGTGTGCCGCTATGAGAGAAACAATTTTGCTGCTGTACTCCTAATAATGACCTAATACCGAACAATATCAACCCCTAATCTTTGCAGAAGTTCTCCGACAATCGTCTCCATGAATCTCACCAATTTACAT